GTCCACCAAAGTGGCTCTTGCTTGTGAAAGGTGCGTCAACTACCCGCCGAAGCGGTGGGTTGGGAGTCCCCCCTGGGATCATTTCGTCCGTAAAATTATATACAACATAAAATAGTACAGTAAAATATCCAAATTTACATAAACAAATCTAGGAGACCTCAAAGCTCGTCTTCTGGGGGATGAGGTTGAAGGAGATGTCATGCAGTTCAAGATGCTGGGCTGTTGATCTTCCTCTGATTCCTCTTAGTGCAATGAGTGTACTTCTTAACAGATCAAATCTGAATCGTGTTCTGATATGATTTTTGACTTGGCTCTTGGCTTCTTTTTTATGGTCAGCTATCATCTCAGAGACACGATCTACAAATACAGTGCATAGGGGTCCCATACCTCCAGAGGTTGTGAAGACTAGAGGGACAAAGGATCCTTTCTCTGACTGAAGTACTCTCTCTTCATACTAGTGGGCTATGACCTCTTTTGACACAGGCCATGTTAACCATCTGATGTGAGTTCCAAAAAAAGTTCCTTTATTCGTATTTGTGGAGGAACATCTCAAGTGGGATTTCCCTTTGTCACTGAGTGTGGCCTATTTAACTCGTAAAATATTTGTTTCAAAGAAACAAATAATGATTGATGATTGATGTTACTCAGCCTGTCATTCCACCAAATCTCTATTATGCACATAAATATAATAGCCTGGGGTCTTAGGTAATGATTGAATGGGATCCTAAGTTATCATTAGTCCAGATCAGTGGCGTAACGAAAGGCCCTGCTGACCCCGCTGTGCAGGGGGGCGCCGTCTTAGGGGGGCGCCAAATCGTCGTTTGAATGTGGGACAATTTCGAAATCTTAACTAAAGTACTAGCAAAACTGCGCGTTTTGCTCTAGAGATACACACTTTTTTAGAGATTTTACCGGCGTATTCTTTAAAATCACCTAATTTGTTCAATTTTAGGGAGGGGCACCAAAAGGGGAGGGGGCGCCAACAGGGGGGCGCTTTTTTCGGCAGGGGGGCGCCAACAGGCAACGTTACGCCACTGGTCCAGATACTTGCCATGTGTAACGCAAATAGCGGGTACAATTTCCTCGATGAACCTGAAGGAGGATTGTCTGTCCTGTATTCAGTATTTTTATCATATAACGTTGAGCTAAAAAGTTGTTTCCAAATTTTGCGTAATGCATTTCTTAAAAGTTTAATGTATGTCCTATTTGCATCCCAAAGAGTTCCCATTGCATTGTTGTTTATTCCTGATTTGGTTAGCTTTGCGTCTCAGAACTAAAGAGGTCTGCTATGCTTTAGTGTTTAGAGAGCTCTGCTGTCGACCTAACTAGGTAGATCTTTAGATCTAAGGGTTCCCCGGGACAAGCTGTGTTAAAGCTTCTCTGCAGGATGTTCGAGATGAACTGTTTTTGAGCATTGAGATCTTCCGCTGTAGAAACTGATTAAAACCAGTAAGGGTGTCAGTCAAACTCTGACATCATCAAATTTGATGGCCTCAAAATGAGCCCTTGTGTGTTAGCTGTCTAGCTGAGAAGACCTGAAAAGTGGTTACTGGAGGAAGAAGTGCTCATTATCAGTGTGTCTTTGTAGTCAGAATGAACGAATTGGGATCCCTAGCTCTGTGGTGGGTGACTTCTATGGGGGACCTGAAAGATGAAAGAGAATTTCCTAGTGGTTTAATGGCTCTTAGAGCTAGGTTCCTGGTTCATCTAGGGAGGTTTGAGTTGGCAATTCCTGACCTTTGCGCTCAACAAGAGAGCACACCTCCCGTTAGTACCAACCAGGCCACACCCCGGCGCATGGAGGTTCAGTGAGGATTTCGTGACCCTTGAAACAAATGCATATTATATTTGGTAACCTTCCCTTGCCTCAATCCTTAACGGGTGATCCTCGTAAAATAGTTATTCCAGAATTTAGTATCACCCGTCTAGTCAAATAAAAACTCGAAGCAACACTGTTTGCTCACACTCTCAAAAAACAATGATACAAAAATTTTCAAAATCCGAGTAAGTTTATTTTTATTGTGCACCTTTTACAATTAGTGGTTTTGAAATTTCGGTAAAGTCTCTGATCACTGAAGATGGCACAAGACACGACGGAAAATCATCAGAATATAAAAAGAGATTTTTGTAGACATGCGCTACCTACAAAGATCATGTCTGTCAAAAAGTAGTGACACACATGCGCTACGAATTTAGGCCAGAGGAGGGGGGGGGGGAGTAAATTATCATTTGTCCAGTTTTCACATATGTGATTGAGCTGCTGGAGATGAACAAGTAGAAACAAACCGCATAAAAATCTGACCTTGCGTTGCTGAGATCTTATAAATATCGAATTTGAGGTAAAGTTAACCTCATATTTAAAGAACAGAGGTAAATATCAAAATTATGTACTTGAATATAATTGTGTGAAACAGTCTAAGGAACACCTGTGCCAAGTTTCAGGTCCTGGGTGTGGCCAGTCTTTTCCAAAAGTTTAGCTCTATCTGGAAAAAAGATATGCAAAGAGTTAAAGTTAAAGTTTTACACGTAATTACAGGTAAACCTCAATTTTTGGCAAGGTCAAATTTTTATGCGTCTTTTTTAAACTTGTTCATCTTTACCAGCTCTGATCAAATATGTGAAAACTGGAAAAACGATTTTTACCCCCCTCTGGCCTTAACAAACATTAAGCAACTTACATTGCAGTACCATTTATCGATTAGAATATCAAAATATGTCATTGTAATTTTGCATGGCTGAAATGTAACGCAGGTCAGCATGTCAGCAGTTTCACTTACTTGGGTGCTATCATCAGTGGGAATGGAACAATTGACAAAGAATTATCAGCTCGAATTCAAAAAGCCTCTGGGGCATTCTATCAGCTTAGCAGTATATGGTACAGTCGCAACATCAAGACACCAACTAAAATCAGGATATACAAAGCCGCTGTCCTCACTATACTGCTATATGGAAGTGAGGTATGGAATACCACTCAGACGCAGATGAAAAGATTCGAGGTGTTCCATCATAGATGTCTGAGAAGAATCCTGAAAATCAAATGGTTTTATCACGTATCTAATGCTGACGTACTTAAGCGGGCTAACATCGCCCCTGTTGATACTTTCGTACGAGCAGCTAGGCTCCGATGGTTTGGCCATGTGGTGAGGATGCCAGAAGAAAGAATACCCAAATATCTTCTGCACTGGATCCCAAAGCATGGTAAAAGATCAAGAGGCAGACCTCGGAAAAACTGGTTGTCATGCGTCCGGGAGGATGCAGCAATCTTCACAGGTGTCGATAACATCACAATAGAAGATGCAGAACAACAAGCTACAGGTGATGTATCAGGTGACGGTGACGCTGCATGATGCTTATCACGTGACTTACTTAATCAAGTGACTACTTCATAAGTCAAACATTCAAAGTTATTGTTCTGCCAACACTCACAGTAACCTTACCCCTCAATCAATTTAAATCATTTGCAAAGATCATGAACCAAACAGGAAATTTAACAATAATATTATTTCCTTAAGCATTATGGCATTTTACTGGATCAAAACAGCTTTTAAATATTACCATTACTCAGTAGGGAAGCATTATTTTCCCTTAATTTCTTATATGTAATGTTAGTGATTCGGTATTAGCATCTAAAGTTACAACGATTCAAGTTGTTTTCAACTACTGAAATTACCACTTTTAGAAAAATGTTTATCGATTAAGCGATGTCGCACAGGTAGAAATTAAACACACTTATTCAGCCATTCAAGATTACTAATACTATTAGAAATACAATATTTGAGCTGCGATCAGATTAATAAACTTTCATGTCCAACAAAGGTGACGAGACACTTCAACTAATTAAAACGATTCGATACGCCCCTACGGCTACATTAAAACCAAAAACATAGCATCTTGCATGCAGTATAACATACAATTAAATATTTAATCTACTACATGAAACTATCGTGTGTTTCAAACCATTTAAAATCTCATAATTTGCGAAATAATTTCGTGAGTTTCATGGCAACATAATGATAATGCTCTAAAGTTTAAAAATTAGAATCAGAGTGTCTTCATAATTTTTATAAATAAAAAGAAATAATATTGATGAAAGGTCATAATAATGTTTAGAATAAACTGTCCATAGTTATAGTGTTAGTTCACTACTAACCGCGAGTTAGCTTATTCTTGTTTTTACAAGAGGAGGTGCAGCAGGAGGAGCACAGTCAAAACTTCCGATCCCAGTTTTATATCACCTCCCGAACCCGTTGCCACTGAAAAACTTATATTTAATGTTTGGATAATTTCGTGAGCCACAAAATTCTACCAGATGCAAATTGTAAGTGTTATTATATTGGTCTCACGCAACTATGAGCTTAGAGTTAGGGCTAGTCCCTGATCAAGTATGAAATATATAGAAATTTTTTACAATAAGCTAAATATTGCTCGCAAATTCAGCTGGCCTAGAATCAAAGAATCGTGTTTGTGATTTCTATCTCACCTTTGGTTTCAATGGGGTACCCAGCTACCATTGGTCCCTGATAAACATGGAACCGTCCGTCGTTTAGTTCACTTTTTCCGTCAACGGACCTCTTCCGTCTGCCGTTTGAACATAGATCTGTGCAGCCATGAAAACTGAAAGAATTAGAAAATGATAAGATGCGGTGGAGTATAAAATGTTAATCGGATAATCGACGAGGAACTATAAATATAATATAGTATATTATATATTAGAGCTCAATCCTTAATTAGTACTATTACTTACTAACTGGGAATCCATTAAGGTGATGGATACGGGTTTTAGTACGGTATTAAGGAATAAAGGGAAGTGGGAAAGGTCAGCCTTAATATTTAATTGTTTCATTATTCAAATTCTAACAGAAAGTTTTTGAATGTTAAAAAAGTTCCTAAATAATGCACTCAGACTATACAATATTATTGTAGGAAGTCCAAAACAGATATTACGACAAATTACCTGCTATTCGAGACACTGCAGACTTTTACAACTGCATGGATGAAAATTGCAGTGTGGGAATCCAAAAAGCTAAGAGATTTAAAAGTAAATCTTTTCACTTTGGGGTCGGAGAGAGGTTGAGAGTTGGAATCAGTGTCGATGAAGTCGAAGGTCGAGTCCTTAATACAACTGAGGTGAATTATATATCTTTAAAATCCCAGCAATATTATAGTTGTATTTGTTGAGACTTGAGTTACACTTACAGTAAAACCCCGATTTACCGCGCCCCAATTTACTGCATCCCCGATTTACCGCGGCCATTTCATTTCCCCAAAATAGGGCTTACCATGCATAATGTAAAAGTAAAACTAACAAAATGTAACACCAATTTACCGTGGACCCCGATTTATCGCGGATGCATCCCTTCCCCAAACTCCGCGGTAAATCGGGGTTTTACTATATAATAAATATTTGATAATGATATGATGATTGATGATACTTCCTATTCCTTGCAGGTGATATTTTGAAACTAATATCTGATATTAGTTTAACACTCTATAGAGCGATTTTGACGAATTAGTTTGAATAGTGCATTAAATGAAATACATATTTACAGGAATGACTCTTGTGTATAAATTAAATACTCCAAACTTTGAGGAGGATTTAAGATATGGACTCTTGTGTGAAGGTGAGAATATTCTTTCTGAAACGGATCAGCTTTCAGCGTTGACAAATTAAAACCAGGAATCACTGTTGGTGTCAAAACAAATTTGGTTCACCTCCCCATCAGTATCTATTATATCGGTCATTCGAGCGGAGACCATGGCCTATCATGCGCCTATCGGGCGCCTATTGGACGCCTATCGGGCGCCTATCGGACGCCTATCGGGCCTATTATATCTACTAGCAAGACTCAGGAGACTAAAATAATTATTACCTGTTTAATTCGCGTTTTTGACACCACTTGGGGGTCCAAAATTTGGGCACTAAAACTCTTATTCCTTGGTAAATTTTTTATTTTTTCATGCTGATTTGAAGGCCATTAAAGCGGTTGAACTAGTCAAAAAGTTTAAGTTTATATTTATAGACTTAAGATAATAGTATAATTGATAAACTTACCCTTCTTTGACTAGGTCGTACGACAAATTTCCCTCTTCCTCGGATTCACTGTTTCTGGCTTGCACGTTCAACACCCCTAGAGAAAGATCTGGGTCCAGCGAATCTAGTGTTACCTGGTAATATACATTATTTCATAACAAGTTATTTACGTGATTGATAAATATAATATCCTTTATCAAACCATTGGTCACAGTCATAGTAGTACAGTTGCTTTCGTGCTTAATGATCAAAATTGAATTACATACCCAACACCTTCAGTGAAATTCTATTTGATGGCATATCCTAAGCTAAATAATAATCTTTTAACATATGAATAATTATCGATATATCATCCAACGCGGGGCTAAGAATTTATTAAAAGCTAAAGTTTAGTGCAAGACCTGCATGTAAATGTCTTCATTTAGATACAATTCAAAGGGGAAGTTTTCTACTTTTTCCGCAAAAGTTTCATCCTTATAGAGGTCTAGGACAAACCGAAGTGAGCCATCATTCACAACGGTAGTTCCTTTAACCTGATAAGATGCATACTCCGTCGCTCCTGCAGGAGGGTGGAATTGTTTACAATTGAGGTACGTATCTTTAGTCTCTATACGAGGTTTCTCGATATACGTGCTGGTCAGTTCGTGCAAGAAATGTTAACTGTCACATCGCATTAATTGGGGATATGAGTACATATCGAGCTGTATATCTACCTTAATAAAGAGAATAAAGAATATTCGGAACTGTGAAAATCTTAATAATCTGACCTGTTCTACTATAAGAACACTCAAATGCTATTTTGAATTCTCTAGTAATACCATTAGTGGGATCAATTGTCTTTGTAATGCCAGTCATCTGAAAATTAAATGAATAATAAAACCACAAATTGCTAAGGAATTATTTAAAGAAACATGCTTGAACTTTACTTAAAGTCCGATCAAACTATTTTTGTAACACCCGTCTTTTAACCCAATGAAATTATTACATATGAAAATAATTACCAACAAACATGAAAGTAAAATATGTATCTGACCTGGTTTTTATATATGACGTGGGTGCTATTAAAAGAGGTTTTTGTTCCGCATTTCTCTAAATCCGTTTTTATCTCTTGAACTTCTCCCGTAAATTCACAATCTGCAACGAAGTGTCGATAACGAGAGTTATAGTGTAATAATTCTCTCAGATATACAGGAATATATTTAAACATTTAAATAGCGCATTGTACGGAAAATTAATAATTTTTATTTACAAATTAACAAATAAAATACCTTTTTCGTTAAGTCGAATAGTATCAAAACTGCTCTTCTCTGCAAGGGTCAACTTCATTTCTTTTTCGTCACATGTCACTGTGGCCACTAGACACAACAAATTTTAAATATCAAATAATAACAGGCAGAAGGTACAAATTAATTTCTAATGACGATATCAAATTAATAGTTGTTATGATTACAGTTTTATGATTACAGTTTTAGGAGATCCTAATAACACTTCCGATCCTATTTACAACTTTTGCTTTTACTGAGCAATCAATCTATCTTTAAAAGTCATGATATGTTTGGTAGAAATTTACCTGGTACACAAGTTGGAGTTGTGGAAAGCTCGCCGTTCGTACAGGTGATTGTTGACGATCCAGATATCACGAACCCGTTGTCGCATAACACGTTGAATGTGGCGCCCGAGTAAATTTCCGAATCCGGGGTTACCGTGCCTTTTTCAATGATGGGCGTGCTACAATCAGGTGCTGGAAAGAAATCATCAGAATTCTTATCAAAAGTGAGCAATACTGTGTAATTACTTACTGATGTTTTGCAAATGAATTCTAATTAATATTCTAATTGGGAGATTGAAAAGAACGAAAGCTTTATTTTCATTGTCACTAAATTCGAAACTCGAAGTTTACAGCTTTAAAATAATTAATACTGTAATAATAACATCGCATGGATTATTTGTAATACAAAGTAGGCCAATGATTAACTTAAGAATTGATATATTATTATAGTGTTCCATAATCGTATTCTTTAAAAATAAAAGCTTCTGTGTAAATTTCAGCAGACTTTAGAAAATACCATAATAATAAGCCAGTGATATAGACTCCTACCTCTCCCAATGATAACTAGTGCATATACTTGAGTATCCCCGTGACGACTCCCATCAAATTTAACAGTGTCTCCTATCATGCAATCAGAAGCAGCATTGTCCGGGACTGTTCCATCCTCAGAGTACACTGACACGGGAAAATACCTGCAGTAACCACCACTGCAGGTACACGCGTCCCTCGAGCATGTGTGTGTTTGAAGAGTACTTTTGATCCAATGACGTACTTCCTCTACACAATATAGCCTGTCTAACTGCGCTATAAACCAGCTGTCAGATCCCTGGGAGTAAGCTACAGTATTTGTATTCCTGTCTATAGCATTACTTGCCACATGACTTGAGCTAGCTTTAGTCATTGACACGGAAACAGGTTTTATCTCACCATCTACCTCTCCTATAATTTTACCTGAAATAATGACAACGATAAATTGTCGTGTTTCACTAATTAGCACCCGCAGTTTAATTAGAGTCATATGGGACTCCAACTCAATTTGTGTACATATTATGTATTCTGTGTTAATTCTGATAAGGTAGTGATATAAAAGTAAATATTACAATTTTGTACATTGTAACCTTGGATGGGTAACCACAATAGCGTCGTAAAGAGGATTATCTTTATCTTCATGATCATATGGTCGCTAGACATGAGCATATTCGGTTCTTTTGCGATAGTCAAAACGCGACAACTAGCGCTGGATGGCGACAACTAGCGCTATCCAGCGCTAGTTGTCGCCATCCAGCGCTAGTTGTCGCTATCCAGCGCTGGATAACGCTGGTCAGCGCAAAATATATATGTTCGATAATTGTCGCTATCCAGCGCTAGTTGTCGCCATCCAGCGCTAGTTGTCGCCATCCAGCGCTAGTTGTCGCTATCCAGCGCTAGTTGTCGCTGGCTATGCGACACTGTCGCACGCGATAGTTTGCGATGGCCAGCGCAACTGGCCATCGCAGAAAACAGTTCGATAACTAGCGCTGGATAGCGACAACTAGCGCTGGATAGCGACAACTAGCGCTGGCCAGCGCTGGCCAGCGCTAAGCGATAGCCAGCGCTGGCCAGCGCTGGCCATCGATATCCAGCGCAAAATTTTTGCGCTATTACTCGTCAGCTAGCGCTGGCCAGCGCTAACCAGCGCTAGCCAGCGCTAACCAGCGCTAGCCAGCGCTAGCCAGCGCTAACCAGCGCTAGCCAGCGCTAACCAGCGCTAGCCAGCGCTAGCTGACGAGTAATTTCAGTAATATCGCAACTATATTGCGCTGGCCTGCGCTGGCTGACGAGTAATACTAATATCGAGCGTGCTAAATCACTCTACAGTCGATCTTCGAGATTGTTCTAAAAGGGCCCACGATGGTTGTAACCAACTTGAAACTTCAATCGATGTATTTTCGGACGCTAATTCCGAATCAACCCCCATGGGCCCATGACATAGCTATAGGGTTAAAATGCTCTCCTGACGAGATATTGGCGAAAAACTGTACATGTATCGATCACGTGATATGACCGTATAAGGAAGTTAGTCTAATTTCTCGTTTCTGTTAGGGTTTCAGCATATGTTTTTGTTAAGGATTGGGTTAGGGTTAAATTAGAGGGTTAGGGTTTCGAAAAGTCGTTCAGAACCAGCTAGAGTCAGAGAATGGGTTAAAAAGTCACGTGACAGTCGAGTGTAAAGTGATTAATGATAATCATCATCCGAGTAATATATGATTTTGATACATTGCGCTGGCTAACGCTGGCTAGCGCTGGCTAGCGCTGGCTAGCGCTGGATAGCGACAACTAGCGCTGGCTAGCGCTGGATAGCGACAACTAGCGCTGGCTAGCGCTGGCTAGCGCTGGATAGCGACAACTAGCGCTGGCTAGCGCTGGCCAGCGCTGGCCAGCGCTAGCTGACGAGTAATAGCGCAAAAATTTTGCGCTGGATATCGATGGCCAGCGCTGGCCAGCGCTGGCCAGCGCTAGTTGTCGCTATCCAGCGCTAGTTGTCGCTATCCAGCGCTAGTTATCGAACTGTTTTCTGCGATGGCCAGTTGCGCTGGCCATCGCAAACTATCGCGTGCGACAGTGTCGCATAGCCAGCGACAACTAGCGCTGGATAGCGACAACTAGCGCTGGATGGCGACAACTAGCGCTGGATGGCGACAACTAGCGCTGGATAGCGACAATTATCGAACATATATATTTTGCGCTGGCCAGCGTTATCCAGCGCTGGATAGCGACAACTAGCGCTGGATGGCGACAACTAGCGCTGGATAGCGCTAGTTGTCGCCATCCAGCGCTAGTTGTCGCGTTTTGACTATCGCAAAAGAACCCATTTGGTTGAAAAAAAGGTACTCATATTAGAAAGAGTTGGGGTATTTGTTGAAGACGACATAAAGAATGTACGGATTAAATTAACTTTGAGCACTAAGCAACAAATCTTGGGTAGCGGATATGAATTATAGTTATACCCATCTAAGACCTATAATAGGTAGGTAAATATGAAGGTCACAAAGTTGAAGGGGAAAGTTGGTAAATAAATGAGAGCTGTGCAATTTAGTGGAGTTAAGACTATTATAAGGCTTGCCACATCAAGTGCCGTGTCTTTTATTTGTCACGTGTGATATTTATTTGGAAAAAGTTTCAATATATCGTCTCATTATTGAGAATAAGGGCATAGCCAGCACGTCACATCATCAAATAGCTGACCCAAATTGTCAAGTAGCATGCGCGAGACTTACTTTAGATAAACAATAATTATGACTCAAAATTATGTCGAACTGGTTTACTGTTGTTATAGTTAGTAAAGGGCGCATATTTAGACCTCATGTTGTAACATTGAAGGAATGTTGTTGAAGCGTCTGTACTATCGCAGACTTGTGTCTAACTTAAATTTCTGTTTAATTAATATCAATACTAGAGAACGCAGCTAGCATCATCACGTGTTAATATTATTATGACCCTTGAAGTTGAAGCAAACCTTACTGGATTATTGACTAACTATGATTTAACTTAACCTCTTTACCTTTAAACCTATTACACGACAATGAGTTGTTGTTTAATTAAAGTGACAAACTGCAAACTTAAATTTGATCAATATTATATTCAATCATACAATCTGATAATATTTTATAACATAGGGACCATAGAATTCACCTATTAAATATGTGCACAATAAATGATTAGCAATTATTTGGACAATTCTTGAGATTGAAATGTTAAATGGCTAAATGTTATATATTATTTTATAGAATTCATGAACATTTGAATGTAACCTTAAATTAGTTGCTGCTCACAATTTAGGCTGCTCAGTTTTTCCAATCCTCAGTTTGAATAAATATGTTACTGTTAGTTTTCTGCAATGGTACTACTCCAAGGTGTTTTATATCTGATTCCATTTTATTTAAATTCAACTGTCAAACAAATCGAAGGAAAATAGTTGGAGGACATTGGTAAAATAGTCGGAGGATATTGGTAAAATAGTTTGAGGACATTGGTAAAATAGTTTGAGGATATTGGTATACTAGATATGTATAAATATGATACTAGGCTTTCTTTGCTATTTTAGCAGTACTGGTGTTGTCAACTCTGCTCTTATTCGTTCATTTATATTGCTAATTGAGCCTTAATGACTGATAGTAATATGACCATTTGTCCGACGACGTCGCCCATATTTAGGTCCTGCTCATCATTAAGACAATATGCTTATAATATATACCAGTCAGAGTTGGTCGGTCCAAATTAGGGTCTACAGGGTGTCCGTAACTATTAGTATTTAGTATCTATACTAGTCTTGACAATCTTTTTGTAAACAAGAGTCCCATCGAAACCCCTTATTTTAAAACAACGTATACTTCTAGAGGCCGTGTAAAATCTCAGATTTGTTACTCAAGTTTTGGGTAACTGAATATTGCGGTTTTTAGGGTGTTTTACCGAATTTCGTATAACAGAGCTGCTAAGTTTTTACACGAAATTTTATGAGGAATACATCGGTCGTGCTAGCCAGCACTGTGATAATCCTCTGGCCTTCATGTATAAATATGTATAATCGTCATAGCTTGCGCTTTTAAAAATACCCATGAGCTGAATAAGTTATTATTTCTTCTGTCGCCGATATTATGTTATTTCATAGATAATCTACAGCCGGGAGAAAAGCACTACTTATCCCGGCCTTAACGGTGATCTCAGCCGGGACCGGGACAAAATGCCAAATCCCGGCCGGTATCCCGGTCGAGCTCTGCCTGTGGCCGTCATGTATAATCGTCATAGCATTTAGAGAAGAACACTACTTTTCAATTAATAAATGATACAGAACGATAACTTGTAACCCCTAAATGTTGCCAGATCGTTACATTACTGAGCCAAGTGTCACAAGGCCATAATTAAAACTGGGATCCGCCCCTCAAAAACATCACCGCTTCACAGACCCTCCACGCAGTGTGGGGTGGGTGGCTCGAACGGGAGGTGCATGGGTGTTTCTAACCTATGCAAAGGAAGGAACTAGCCATCTCTACAACAAAGGAAATGCTATAATAGCCTCTACAGCTAATCGTAGAACCGGAGCATAACCACTCTTCCCAAAGGCAAATAACACCTTCCGCAGGAAACTAACACGCTCACAGGTTCCCACGTCTCGTGTAACCCCAGGATTTGGTTTTGGATCGGACACTCAAAACAACGATAGAGGAGCGGTCTACACGCTCACAGGCTACCACGTCTTATTCATTCATTTATTATACTTCATAAAAATTCTCTCGAAATTGACTTTATAGTTGTTTCTAATAGAGGGGAGTGATATCTGCCAGCCCCGGCCGCTTTTGGTCCGGGTGATCTCTTCTAAATGGTACCTAGAACATATCCTGAAAGTTTGAGGGTGATTGCTCAAAAAATGTAGGAGAAGATAGATTTTTAGACTCGATTTTCAGGACGCGTGATTCAAAGTCGCTCACGCAATACAATTACGCATAAGCGCTGACCTTTGACCAGCGATATTTCGGCTAGGAACAATATTTTTCCATGGGACCAAAAGCAGCTGATAGATATCACTCCCCTCGATCAGAAACAACTATAAAATCAATTTCGAAAGAAATTTGATGAAGACCCCCCGGGCCCCTTTATGGCCCTCGTAAAATTTATTCCTCTACTAGAATAAAATAAGAAAATTTGATGAGAAGAAATCGTGCTTCTCTGCTTAAATTCGTAGATTAAACTGAACTTCGTGTTATAATAGTCACGTGGAAAATCAAGGAAAGAGTCTCAATCATGCGATAAATTCAATGTGTAACGACAGTCAACAGATTATTTCAGCTCTTTTAAAGGCTCTACGTTAATCAAATTTAACTCAGATTAGTGTTAAAGTGTTTGCGCTTTTAAATTGTTCAGTTTTTACTTTTGTGAAATTGCCGTGAATTTAATTGTGGAACACTAATTATACTAAATAATATAAATCGTATACAAAGGCTAACATTAAGGAAGTCATTTCTGTACTGACTGCTCACATATAAATGAAACTGAAAGAATGAATTGTAGGACGGATCACGGACGTGTCTACCAAAACCATCAGTGTAGAAAATGCAAATTGAGTCTGTTGAAAAGAAATAAACTACGGCATAAATGTATAATATCAATAAGCAGCAATGAATCCCGCAAAGTTCTGAACCTTTCTTTGAAGAAAAGTAGAC